CTCTCAAATCAATAAAGAAAATAAATAAAATATCAAAAGGTCTGAATTCCTGTTTTCAACTCCTTATCCTGTTATGGGACCTGAACCAGATCTGTGTCTCAATTTCCCCATCTATACATTGTAAGTTATTAAAATAAATCTCACAGTAGAGAATGAACATGTTAGAAAGTCTATAAATGTCACACCTATAAACTAATTGCAAATTAAAAAATAAAGCAGACTTTCTCAATTTTTAAATTTCCTCTCCCTTGTTTCCATTGCTTTTATAATTTTTAATCTAATAACAAATGCATGATAAAGTACTCAGGGTTTTCGCGTCAACTAGACTCTCAACTATTTTCAAATACACATTTTCACATTGATTAGATAAGGCAAGTCCAGATCCTGAGAGTCGCAGCAATTAGCCTCAATTGCTCTTGCCAGCTAATCAGAGGTAGAACAAAACAATTCATGTTATGTCTAATTTTCAAAGTATTTAAAATTATATTTTAAATTCATAGAGTACAAGAAATATAGTGTGGGGCAAAAGTTGGTTTACAGTTGTATGAGAAAGAGTTTATTCTTGTATTCTTTTCCATATGAACAACTGTAAACTTATGTTTGCCCCCAACCTGTATCTTTTTACTTTAGACCCAACTCTAACTGTAGACAGAACTTATTAAGTAGTTCTTAAGGGAGTCCTGATCACCTCTTCTCCCTTGTTGCATGCAGGCTCTCAATGGCCTGATGGTCTTCCCCCTCCCCCAATCCAACGTGTTCAAATCTGAGAATTCAAATCCGTGTACAAATAAGAAAGTGTTATCTTCTTTCTTCTTTGCAAATGCTATGTATTTCCTCTGTCAAGAAGGTCCTATACTGCATTGGCCAGTGTGGCTCAGTTGGTTGAGCATGGTCCCATGGACGAATAAGGTCCATTGGTTCAATTCCTGGTCAGGGCACATGCCCAGGTTGTGGATTTGATTCCAGTTAATGTTTCTTTCTCTCTCCCCCCCTCTCTCCCTTCCTCTCTTTCTAAAATTAAAAAAATAAGAAGGTCCTTTACTCACTACTTGGTGTGTTCTAAATTCCAATGTTGCCTTCTAATCACAAACAGACCAAGATAGAGTTGGGCCTGACCTCCCCATGCTCCCAGAGCAACTCCTGAATATTTATAGTATATTTCTCATCAGAACTCATCAGTGACAGAATTCCAAATTGTTTTTTGTCTGACTTCCATGCTCAACAATGAGCTACATGACAGCAGAGATTGAGAATTATTCATTTCTAGATAATCCCAGCAATTGATACAATTTTAGGTGTTCAAAAATGATTTCTTGCCCAGCTGGTGTGGCTCAGTGGCTTGAGCATCATCTCATGGACTGAGAGGTACCAGTTCGATTCCCAGTCAGGGCACACGCCTGGGTTGCTGGCTCAATCCTCAGAAGGGGGCGTGCAGGAAGCAGTTGATGAATATTTCTCCCTCTCTGTCTCTAAAAAATCAATAAAAACATATTAAAAATAAAAGATTTCTAGTCCAGCTGGTGTGGCTCAGTGGTTGAGTGTCGACCCATGCACCAAGGGGTTGCTGGTTCGATTCCCGGTTAGGACACATGCCCAGGTTGTGGGCCTGATCCCCAGTTGGGGGCATGAAGGATGCGGCCGATCAATATTCACTCTGATTGATATTCACTCTCTCCCTTTCCCTTTCTCTCCTTCTAAAATCAATAAAGGAAAAAAAAACAAAAAGATTTTTTGCCCTGTCTGGTATTGCTCAGTGGTTAGAGTGTTGGCCTGCACACAGAAGAGTCACAGGTTCAATTCCCAGTCAAGGGCACATACCTGGGTTGCAGATTTGATCCCCTCCCCCGGTTGGGACATGTGCAGAAGGCAACCAATCCATGTGCCTCTCTCACATTGATGTTTTGCTCTTTCTCGCTCTCCTCCACTCCCTCTCTCCCTTCCACTCTCTTAAAAAAAAAAAAAATCAATGGGAAAATATCCTTGGATGAGAATTAACCAAAACACAAACAAACAAAAACCCCCAAACGAATGGAAAGAGAAAATACTACCCCAAAGTAGAACCTAGTTGATTTTCTCAGTTCAAACAGTATTATCTGATGGATATACATATTTTTAAAAATTTATTATTATTTTCTTTTGTTAATCCTCACCTTAGTATATTTTTCTATTTATTTTTAGAGTGACTGGAAAGGAGGGAGGGAGGGAGAGAAAAACATCAATGTGAGAGAAATACGGATCAATTGGTTGCCTCCCATATGTGCCCTCAATGGGAATTGAACTAGCAACCTTTCAGTGCACAGGAAGATGCTCAACCCATTGAGCAACTCTGGCAAGTGCAGTGATTTTTAGAGAGAGAGGAAGAGGGAAAAATAAACATTGATGTGAAAGTGGAACACTGATCAGCTGCCTCCTGCACACCCCCTACTGGGGATTGAGCCCCCAACCCAGGCATGTGCTCTGACCAGGAATTGAATCAGCAACCTTTTGGCACATAGGACAATGCCCAAGCAACTTAGCCACAATGGCCAGGACTATTTGATGGATATTTTGGTGATAGATGTTAACTAGAATTATTGTGGTGATCATTTTGCAATATATACATATACTGATTGAATCATGTTGTACACCTGAAACTAATGTTATATGTCAATTATATCTCAGTGAAAAAAAACACATTTATTAAGCCCATATGTCACGTACTGTGCCAGATGGATACACACACACACACACACACACACACACATATATATGTCCTCATTTGTCCAGTAGAAATAATTACCTCACAAGGCTGTTCTGAGGAATATATATATATATATATATATATATATATATATATATATAACACTGCTATTGGGCAGATAAAGGTATAGATTCAGAAAGGTGAAGAAATGACTTGTTTGTGCCCGTGATGCTACTGAGTGATTGATAGAATGAAAATCTGAATCCAGGTCTGGTTCAAAATGCAGTGTTTTCCTCTGAACCATATCTATCCAAACAGCCACATTCCTCATCTATAATAATATTATAATAATAGTCATTGCTAACATTTACCTTGCTCTTCTCATGTGGCAGCACTGTGCTAAAACAATTTAAATGATCGTATTTAATCCTCACAACCACACTGTTTTATTAAGATCTCCATTTCACAGTTGAAGAAACTGAGTTTTATACAAGTTCCATAATTGCCTTGTTCCCACAGCTGGTAAGAAACAGGATCAGAGTTGAACCTAATTCCAGAACCCATTCTTTTAATCACTACTTTAGACTGCAGAAAACTCACTCTAGTCCTGGCTCCAACCAGGCAAGTCATTTGATAGTTCTATCTCAATTTCCTTGTAATTAAATGGGGATATTGTTATTTGTCCCTACCTATTTCACAGAGATATTGGGATTATAAAATAAGAAAGTGTATAAGCTTAAGAGGGAAAATTGCTATATAAATCTAGGCATTGTCACAAGTTTCACTCTGATCTTCCCTCTCCCACGATCATAAAGGGATTTAGCTGACATCATTAGCTCCCAAATGTCCTCTGAAGTGGGTAGTGAGTATTATTATCTCCACTTATCAAAAAGCTAAAGCACAAAGAGATGACGTAATTTGCTAGTCAGTGGCAGAGTTGGGAATAAAACCCAAGATTCTAACTCCCACGGCTTATGTTCTTATGGCAAATCCTATTTCTGTGTTTCAAACTTAACTGTAAAATAGACATGGGTAGAAATTTTAGAGTCCACTTCAAAACCCAGATTAAATACTTACAGAAATTAAATTTTCTACTGCAGTGACAATATAATCTCTAAAGCTCTTAATCCTCGTACTCTAGAGAAACTACAAAAAGAATCAAAAAGAAAAATTTCAATTTCCCAACTCTTAAGTTCTCTCAAATAATTTATTAATCAAAGATTTTTATAAAACTGGGTGAGTCATTACCTAGTTTCAACTAGTGAGTCTATAAGCTTCCATAGGGACATAAAATCTCAATATTAAATTGTTCCTCACAAAAATCAGAAGAAAGCATCAAATACATTCTCACATCATAAACACTTAATGTAATTATATAATTAGACTTGGGAATTATACAAATATACCAATCCACAATACCCTGTGCTCAAAAATTCAAGTTCCAAAGTGACCTGTATAATTAAAACAAAAAGTACACATGGCACCTTTATGGTCATTCTTCTTCTATATAAAAATCAAAATCAGTTTTGTACTTCCCACCCAAGCCCCAGCACAGACAATCACAAACCTTACGTAAAATAAAAAGTGGTAATGAGCCAATTCTGCCTTACTATTCTGTCCTAAATAGGGAACAAGTATTCAGTCTAGTCCCCAGATTAGTAGCTCCTCCTAATTCTTGTTTTCTAGAAACACAAAAGCTTATGTAATAATATATTATATAAATATAATAATAATCTTTCAATTATTATTAGTTTGATAATCACATGTTTTGAAATTACCAGTGACCGGAGAAAAAATGAGAGAAAAAAATGTTCACTTTTAAAGAACTAAGTAACGGAGTCCACAAACACTTCATTATTACTCTCTCTGAAAAAATATCTTTACTTATATTTATAAATAAAATAACTGTCTGCCTGGCTGGTGTGGCTCAGTGGATTGAGCTTTAGTCTCATGGACTGAGAGGTTCCAGTTAGATTGCCAGTCAGGGCACTTGCCCAGGTTGCAGGCTCAATCCCCAGAGGGGGTATGCAGGAAGCAGCCAATCAATGTATCTCTCTCACATTGATGTTTCTCTCTCTCTCTCTCCCTTTCTTTCTCTCTAAAAAAATCAATAAAACAGCCCAGCTGGTGTGGCTCAGTGGTTGAGTGTCGACCCATGCACCAAGAGGTCACCAGTTAGATTCCAGGTCAGGGTACATGCCCAGGTTGTGGGCCCGATCACCAGTGGGGGGCATGCAGGAGGTGCCCAATCAATGTTCTCTCTCATCAATATTTCTACTTCTCTCTTCTTTTCTCCCTCTCTAAAAAAAAAAATCAATAGAACATATTATAAATAAATAAATCTGTCATTTTGTTATAGGGACAAAAACTAAGTCATCGGAACCCAAAGAGCTGTTGTACTAATGTCAAGAGTTTGTTTCTTGAGTGTCATGAGATGTCTAAATTCACTCCTAGCTACATAATACCACCTTAACCTGTGCTATGATGAAAAAGCAAATGACGACATATGACTCCTGGTTTTTCAGAGGTTGTTTTAATACATTAGTCCATCTTTCCTTCGAGAAAAATATTTGTCTTGGTTTCTATAATTGAAAACAATCATACCTTCTGTTGGGTCAGGTGTGCTAAGGTTTATCAAATTTAATTCGAGTGTGAATCACCTATAGGTCCTGTTAACATGCAGAATATAATTCAGAAGGTCTGGGACTACATGTCCAATCAAATCCCAGGTGATGGCAATGCTACTGCTCGACACACCACACTTTGAGTAGCAGTACTCTAAGAAATGTTTCCAAATAGAAGTAATCTCTATCAGATGTTTATTGTTAAAAAAAAAAAAAAAATACAGACTCCTCCAAGAGTTTGCAAAGGGAGATAATATTCCAGAGCCTAAACAAGATGTTTGCTACCTTCCCCCATTATATGATTTTTACCAGGTAGTTGTAAATACAATGTAATACCTTAATACAAGGCATGTCCTCATTGCTGACAATTTATTGGGGCTTGACTTGATTGGAGCTTATGTGGATGAACATAAAACTTCAAGCTTTTCATAATAAAAGAGTTGATTCAAAATAAATATTTTAAAATTATGTCAAATACTAATGAATAAGTGATGTTTACAAATAGTTTATAAGAGAATCATTTGGGATTAGTAATTTTCATTTCTTTCATAAAATAAATAGCTTGTGTACTAAAGAAGACACCTTCCCTTAAGCAGGAAAAAAAAAAGCCAATAAAAATAAAATCACGCTCTCACCACATAGTCATAATATTATTTTCAGTGAGCAAAATACCAAGATTAAGACAAAAAGTACATAAAGAGAACCTGGGGGAGGGTTCAGGGAAAGAGAACAGCTGGTAAATTTAAGAAAGATTTTAACTAGAAAAGATTACACATGAGAGCACCAGTCTTTCTCCTTAAGAAAACTAATTAACCGCAAACTTTTAATTTTAGGTTTTCAATAATGCTCTCTCTTCATATGACCATTAGTCCAACCTCCCCCCAAAATTCAACTAACCATCAATAAAAATTAAGTTGGTGACAGGTTCAGCTGGCTATATATTCTATGTGTCAATGCTTTTGAAACCAATGAGGGTAAAAAAATCCATGGTGAAAAAAACAGAGTAAAAAAAGAATCACTTGTCTTAGCACAGAAAGAACCCCCATCTTGAGCACCTTTCCTCACTCTGCAGGGTAAGTGTCTCAATGTTTGTGCGCACTCTTCAGCCCCATAACTGTGAAGGTAGCAGCCGTCAGTTTCTCATACACAAGGAACATGAGAGCAGCAGTGAGGACTGTCTGCAGCAGTTTGGCTTCAAGGCCTTTGTAGAGTCCCATTATTCCAAATCGTCTAAAAGGAAAAAAATTTGAAAAAAATAAATAAAAAAGTTTTTCTTTATAAAAGTCAACTCCTGCATCAAAGAAACAGGCTGCTTTGACAGCTCCTTTGCAAAGGTTTATCCTCAGGATCAAAACAAGCAATGGAAATTTTAGATATTAACAGATTCCTGTTGTCAAAGTACTAATCTTTGAGGACTGATTAAAATATAGTATTCATGAGCCACCAATACTTTATCTTTATAATCACCATTAATTAGCAGAATGCTGACAATATCACAGATAGGATCCAGATCCTAAAACCATCTTAATACCAAGATCTGAGATCTAACTAAGAACTTTTAGATCTTTAACATTCTCACAATTCAGTTATGTCAGCAGTCCTTAAAGGGTAGGAAAGCTGCATATTGGTTTAGATCATTTTAGCTTCAACAAAACTAGGCAAAGTAACAAATAAAAGTCACCCAATTTTCAGTCTTTCCATATATTTGATCTTCTAACCCAGTGGTTCTCAAATTTAGCATACTTCAGAATCACCTGAAGGGCTTCTTAAACCACAGATTGCTGGGTCACATTCCAAGAGTTTTTGATTTATTTATTTATTTTTCAAATCTTTAAAAAAAAATTTTTTTTTCTTTATTGATTTTAGAGAGGAAGGGAGAAAGAGAGTTAGAAACATCGATGAGAAAGAACATCAAATGGCAGCCTCTTGCATGTCCCCACTGGGGATCAGGCCACAACCTGGGCATGTGCCCTGACCGGGAATTGAACCAGCCACCTCTTGGTGCATGGGTTGATGCTCAACCACTGAGCCACACCAGCCGGGCTTTTTTTAAAAATTACTCATCCGAGGATACTTTTCTATTTATCATCAAACAGAGTGGAAGGGAGGGGGAGAGAGAGAGAGACAGAGAGAAACATTGATGTGATAGAGCCACATCGACTGGCTGCCTCCCACATAACCTGACCAGGGCTGGGGACAAACCACAACCCAGGCATGTGCCTTGACCAGGAATCGAACCGACAACCTTTAGGTGCATGGGGTGACACAACCAACTGAGCCACGGGCCATGCTGCCCAGGGCCAGGATATTCTTTTTTTTTTTAAATTTTTTATTCTTTATTGATTTTAGGGAGAGAGGAAGGGAGAGGGAGAGATAGAAACACTGATGAGAGAGAATATAGACTGGCCGCCTCCTGCATGACCCCCACTGGGGATTTGGCCCACAACCTGGGCATGAGCCCTTACTGGGAATCTAACCAGTGACCTCTTGGTGTATAGGTCAATGCTCAACCACTAAGTCATACTGGACGGGTTAGGAGATTCTTAATCAAAAGTCTGGAGAGATTTGGTATATTACAGTGCACTATCCAATATGGTAGGTACTAACCACATGAGGCAATTAAAATTACATTTTAAAAATTCAATTTCTCAGTTGCAGTGGCCATATTTCAGGTGCTCAACAGCTACATGTGGTTATTGGCAACCCTACTGGACAGTGCAACTATTTCCATCGTTGTAGATGGAATGCTTTTCATTCATCCAATAGTTCTTGAGTGCTTACTGAGCATCTGAATTTGAACATCTGGCTCTGCCTCCATCTCTCTGGTGCTTGGCAAATGACTTTCTTTCTCTAACCCTGTTTCTTGACCTGCAACAATGGGAGTACAATCATCCTTCCACACTCACAAGGCTGCGGGAGAACCAAACAAGATAAAAGATGTGAAAACACACTGGATTTGAAAAAAACATAACCCTATAGGTTTCTAGTTAACACTACCTTATTAAAGTTCTTGTCAATGACATCATTCTTAACTCCCACAATGCTGGTAGAAATGAAAATTGTTATTATTTTTTAGGGTAAATTTGGCAATGTCAATCAAAATTTTGTATGTTCGAATTCCTTAAGCAGCCTGGATGGTGTGGCTCAGTGGCTGAGCATTGACCCATGCCCAGGTTGTGGGCCAAGTCCCCAGTGGGGGGCATGCAAAAGGCGGCCAATTGATGTTTTCTCTCTCATCGATGTTGCTCTCTCTCTCTCTCCCTCTCCCTTTCTCTCTTTCTAAAATCAATAAAGAAAAAAAAAAGCTTTAAAAAAAATCAAAATAATAAATTCCTTAACCAGGTAATTATACTTAAGGAATTTTCTCTATAATTATAACCATTCAGGTGTATAAAACTAAATTTATGGGCTATTCATTTAGCAATGTTTGTAAAGGCAAAAACCTGGGGGAAAACTATCCATCTAAAATTAGTGTATTAGTGCCTGGCTGGTGTTGCTCAGTGGATTGAGCATCGTCCCATGAATAGAGGTCCCGATTCAATTCTCAGTCAGGGCACATGCCCAGGTTGTGGGCTGGATCCCCAGGAGGGGGTGTGCAGGAAGCAGCCGATCCATGTTTATTTCTCACATAGATGTTTCTATCTCTATTTTCCTCTCTCTATAAAAAAAACCAAGCCTGGCCAGTGTGGCTCAGTGGATTGAGCGTTATCCCATGGACTGAGAGGTCCCGGTTTGATTCCCGGTCAGGGCCCATGCCTGGGTTGTGGGCTAGATCCCCACTTGGGGCTTGCAGGAGGCAGCCAATAGATACTTCTCTCACATCGATGTTTCTATTTCTCTTTCCCTTCCTCTCTCCAAACAATAAAAAAAAAAATATTAAAAAGAAAAACCAATAGAAACATATTTAAAAAACAAAAGTGTATTAATTATGGTATATTATGTAATAAAACTCAGTAGTCACTATTAAAAAATAAGAAAAATTTATAGATATTGATGTGAAAGGTTGTTTGTGATATTAAATATATAAAAAGGCAAGCTGCAAGAGCATTAACATATAATCCAATTTACATTAAAATGAATACCCAAACCCTGGCCGGTTTGGCTCAGCGGTTAGAGCGTTGACTCACGGACCAGAGAGGCTGGGTTTGATTCCTGCTAAGGGCACGTACCTTGGTTGCAGTTTGTCCCCAGCCCCGATTGGGGTTGTGTGGGTGGCAGCCAGTTGATGTGTCTCTCTCACATCAATGTTTCTCTCTCCCTCTACCCCCCTCTCTCCCTCCCGCTCTATCTGAAAATAAATGCAAAAATGTCCTAGGGTGAGGATAAAAAATTAATAAAATAAAATAAATACCCAAACATATATGTTTTATATAATATTCTGGAATTACATACCCTATATACTCTTAACTATTAACAGTGACTACCTCTTGGAAAAGGGAGAGAAAAAAGAGTGAGTGTACATGTATTTACAGCTTTATTGAAGTTTAGCTGATTTCAATTTGATGAGTTTTGACTGATGTACACACACACAAAACCATCACCACATTCAAGATAGTGAACATATCATTGCCCCCCAAATTATTCTCATGTCCCTTTGTAATCATTCCCTCCCTTCTCCTACCTGGCCCCAGGTAATTACTGATCTGCTTTCTGTCACTACAGATTATTTGCATTTTCTAAGTATGATATAAGTGGAATTGTGTCTGACTTCTTTCTGTTGTTTTTTTTTTTATCTTCACCCTAGGACATTTTTGCATTTATCTTCAGATAGAGGGGATTAATAATTTTATTATTAATAAAATTTATCTTCAGATAGAGGGCAGGGAGAGAGAAGGGAAGAGAGAGAGAAACATCGATGTGAGAGAGACACATCAACTGGCTGCCACCTACACAACCCCAACTGGGGCCGGGGACATCCGCAACCAAGGTACGTGCCCTTAGCGGGAACTGAACCTAGGTCTCTCTGGTCCATGGGCCAACGCTCTAATTGCTGAGCCAAACCGGCCATGGCAAGTGTCTGACTTCTTTCACTTGGCATAATTATTTTTAGATCCATCCATGTTGTTGCATGAATCAACAGTTCCTTCTTTATTTCTCAGCAGTATTCCATTACATAGAGATATCACAATTTATATATCTATTCACCTGATGATGAACATTTGAGTTGTTTCCTATTTTTGACGCTTACAAATAAAGTTTCTATTAACATTTGTGTGCAATTCTGGTTTGTTTGTTTTTTGTTAATACTCACCTGAAGTTATTTTTCCATTGATTTTTAGGTAGAGTGGGAGGGAGGGAGGGAGGGAGAGAAACATCAATGTGAGAGAAACACATCAATTGGTTGCCTCCTGCACAACTCCAATCAGAACCAGGGATTGAACCTGCAACCCAGGTACGTGCCCTTGACCAGAAAACAAACCCATGACCCTCTGATCCTCAAGCATTGCTCCAACTGCTGAGCCAAACAGGCCAGGACCCCACCAATTCTTTATCTTTGATTTTACTTTTTATCCCAAGAATGTTCTAATTTTATAATAAATAGTATTTATCTTCAAAATATCTTATATCTAGGAACAATAATACAGTAGTTTTGGCTTCAAAGAAGGTCCTTGCCTTATTTGATGTCCCTGAGGATCAGTTTCTTTAAATGAAACAGGGAAATGACAAAAGTTCATGCTTCGTAGGACTATTATTAGGATTAAGTGATATTGCCCACATAAAGCATCAAGCTCAGTGTCAGCCACAAAACAAACACTCAAATGTTAGTTACTCTTGCCTGACCATTGTGGCTCAGTGGTTGAGCATCAACCCATGCACCAAGAGGTCGCTGGTTCAATTCCTGGTCAGGACACATGCCCAGGATTGTGGGCCAAATCCCCAGTGTGGGGCATGCAGGAGGTGGCCAACTGATGTTCTCTCTCATCGAGGTTTCTATCTATCTCTCTCTCCTGCTCTCTTCCTCTTGCTCTAAAATCAATAAAGAAAAAACAAAATTAAAAATGGTACTCTCATCATCATTATAATTGTTATTACTCTCCCTACTCTCCCCCTTTCTTCCTCACTATGACTACTGGTCTATAATATCTGTTTATTTCTATCTATGAGAAAGATCACAGGACATGTCATTGATGGAAGTACCACTCAGGCAGAATGGTCTCCGTATTAGATTTTGGAGAGTTCCCGTTCTAAACGAGTTCTGCATATTTATAACTAAGACCTGAACTTTTCCCTAATTTTCCAAAGTACTGTCATATTTCACCAAGCCCCTAAAATGAGAAATGTCTGAGCACAGCATCCAAAGGAGTTTCCAGGCTGCCACTGTCAAGGCAGTAATGCAAGTTAAGCAAATCCAACCACTTCCTGGAACAAGGCACTGTTGAAAGAGCAGACAGAATGTGAAGCATCTACAAAGCTCACCTTATTCGCTGGTGAAGAAGATAAAGAACATTTCGAAGACTCCCCAATGTTCTGTTTTCTGGATTGAGTCTGTGACGTCCAAACTGGGGAAGCAGAAAAAAAAGGACTATTTAGTACTACTTTCGTTACCTTAATTTCTATCTGCAGAGGAAATTCTGTTGGGAGTGATGTCTTACACTATACAGTAATAAAAATATCCAATTAGGCCAGGCCAGTGTGGCTCAGTGGATTGAGCGTTGTCCCATGGACTGAGAGGTCCCAGTTTGATTCCCGGTCAGGGCACATGCCAGGATACTTGGCTTGGTCCCCAGTGTGGGGGCATGCAGGCGGCAGCTGATCGATGTAGCGCTCTCACATTGATGTTTCTATCTCTCTCACCCTTCCTCTCTCTCTAAAAAAATCAATTAAAATCCAATTAGTATGTGGATTTCCTTAATCCTCTATTTTTCAATGAAATAAGTGAAACATTTCAATTAAATAAATGAAAATAAGAAATGTTTCAATGATCAAGCATGAGAATTTATACTTTACAAAGAATTATGAGGGAAATTCTACCTCAAAAGAAAAAACAGTCCTGGCCGGTTTGGCTCAGCGGTTAGAGCGTCGGCCTGCAGTACAGAGAGACTGGGTTTGGTTCCTGCTAAGGGCACGTACCTCAGTTGCAGTTTGTCCCTGGCCCTGGTTGGGTCGGACGGGTGGCAACTACTTGATGTGTCTCTTTCACGTTGATGTTTCTCTCCCTCTCTCTCCCTCCCATTCTATCTAAACAAACTATAATGTCCTCGGGTGAGAATTAAAAAAGAAAGAAAAAACATGCCCATATTGAAGATATATATACATATATATTTTTTTAATATATTTTAATTGATCTTTAGAGAGAGAGGAAGGGAGAGGGAGAAAGAGACAGAAACACTGATACAGACCCATTGATCTGCTGCTTCCTGCAAGCCTGATACTGGGGATCGAGCCCACAACCCAGGCATGTGCCCTGATCGGTAAGCAAACCGGGACCTCTAGGTGCATGGGTCAACACTCAACCACTGAACCACACTGGCTGGGCTAAATATGTTTTTTTTTTTATTGATTTTTTTAGAGACTCTAGAGGAAGGGAGAGGGAGATAGAAACATTGATATGTCTCTCTCCTGCACACCCCCACCTGGGGCCAGGACTGAACCTGCAACCAAGGCATGTGCCCTGGTCTGAGAATCAATCCCAAGACCCTTCATTCCACAGGCTGATGCCCCAACCCCTGAGCCAAAATGGCCAGTGCAATAAAAATACTTTTAACAGAAGGTGATAATTTTTTGAATTGACATACTCTCACTACTACCCCCATTTTATCCATCAATGAGTTCTTTGAATTTTTTTCTCCAAAAGAGATCATAACTCCATGTCTCATCTCTCCTTTCCACTGCTACCACTTTAGCTTAGGCCACCATCACCTCTCACCTGTATTACTGAAATGGCCTGCTACCTGATTCCCCATTCCCTTTTCTCTTAGCCTCTGGCCAATACATTACAATAGCACACCAATCTAGAACTGTAAAATCAGATCACATAATCCCTAGTGTAAAACCCTTCAAAGGCTTCCCATGAAGTGAGAGTAAACTCTAGACCTTCCCTGTTACTTTTCCAACCTTATCCTGAGCCATTCTCCAGCCACAGTGGCCTCCTTTCAGTTCCTAGGATCCACCAAGTTCTTAGCACATCATGTTTCCTCTACTTAGAATGCTCTCCGGGCAGCTAGGTCCTTACTTCCCTTTAAGTCTTGATTTACATATGCCTCCTCTGAGGAGCCAATCCCTAATCATCCTATCTAAGAAGATCTGCACCAAGCACCTCTCCACTAAGTCACAGAATGCCACCTACTTCCTTCTTCCTTCATAGCTCTCTCTCTTCTTAGTTTGTAATTATCTACTTATTTTGTTTATTTATCTGTTCATTCTCTCAATTACCCTCATGAAGGCAGGGATTATGACTATTTTATTCACCATGTGTACCCAGCTCTTCACATGGAGTGGGCACTTAATAAACATTTCAATGGAGGGAGGGGATAAGGAGGAGGGTGTCTAGTGGGGAAAAAAGAGAAACATCTGTAACAAAAATAAATAAAAATTGTAAAAATAAATAAACATTTCAATGAATAACTGAATGAACAACCCAGAAATTTGAAAGTGTTCCAAAAAAGCAAAACCATTAGCTCTTTCCTTCAACGAGGTGTCAGAGCAGCCTCCTCAGCAGATGCAGAGATGAAGATCTTTGTGAAGACCTTGACAGGCAAGACCATAATCCTTGAGGTAGAGCCCAGTGACACAACTGAGACTGTCAAAGCTAAAATCCAAGACAAGGAGGGCATCCGCCTGATTAGCAGCGTCTGATTTTTGCGGGCAAACAGCTAGAGGATGGTTACACTCTCTCAGACTACAATAGTCAGAAAAAGTCCACCCTGTACTTGGTGCTTCATCTGAGGGGTGGAATCACTGAACCCTCCCTCCACCAGCTCACCCAGAAGTACAACTGCAACAAGATGATCTGCCGCAAGTGTTACACCCACCTGCAGCCCTGTGTTGTCAACTGTGGCAAGAAGTGCGGCTACACCAACAACCTGCACACCAAGAAGGTTAAATAAGGCCTCTCCACCACCTCCTTGGGCCCGAAGGGCAGCCTTCTGCCTGACCCCTGTGACACTGGGCCTCAATAAAGTTTCTCTTTTGTTGACTGGAGCAGTTAAATAAAAAAAGGCAAAACCATTAATTCCTCTTAAACTAAAGGAAATCAACCTCTGATTTTATAAAGGATAATCTGCCCTAAGGCACCAAACTTGAATGAGAAGGAAGCAAACATACTTTTCTGAGTCCATTAAGAAACTTCCTCCACATTTGGGTTTTCTGAAACACTATGTTACGTAAGAAATTGCAAATAAAGTCCAGCTGGTGTGGCTCAGTAGTTGAGTGTCGACCTATCCCCCACCAAGAGGTCACTGGTTCTATTCCTGGTCAGGACACATGCCCAGGTTGTGGGCCCGATCCCCAGTTGGAGGCATGCAGGAGACGGCCAATTGATGTTCTCTCTCATCGATGTTTCTCTCTCTCTCTCCCTCTCCCTAAAATCAATAAAGGAAGAAAAAAATATTTTAAAAAAATTGCAAATAAAAACTTCATTCCAAACCAAACAGAAAACCAACTCATAGCCAGCCTGGTTAGCAGAATATAAGACAAATGGAAAAATGAATGAGGAATACTCTGGCCTACCAACTGACTACTTCATTGCTTTATTAATATCAACATTGCTTTACCACCGGTTCTCAACCTGTGGGTCGCGACCCCTTTGGGGGTTGCACGACCCTTTCACAGTGGTCACCTAAGACATAACAGTAGCAAAATTACAGTTATGAAGTAGCAACAAAAATAATTTTATGGTTGGGGGTCACCACAGCATGAGGAACTGTATTAAAGGGTTGTGGCATTAGGAAGGTTGAAAACCACTGCCTAAACAGAGAAACCACATATTTTAGAATGTTGCTTGACTAAATGCAGGAAGAACCCCAGCACTCACCCTCAGAATTGACTGTACTGTCTGCATGGGATAGGTGACCGTGGTGGCAATCGCTTTGGCTACTGCACCAATGATGAACACATCCAAAGAAGAAAGCTGGAAACCAAAGAAAGATGAATCACTGTCAATCCAAACAATAAGAACAGGAGATTACAATTTGCTGCTTTTAAAATCAGGATTACCTTCATTCGTTTCTTTAAAAGCTGCCGTTTTAAACCTTCATAGAACATAAATTGGATGGCAGGATTGAAAACCAACAGCAAGGAGGGAAACGTGCCATTCCATAAAGATAAGATTCCTTCATCTCGAATGATCTGGTGAAAAGCATCTAAGCAAGAAATCAAGGACATCTGATGACAATCCCTTAATTAGAGAAGACAAGGCAAATTCTGTTCAAGTGGTTCTATCAAGATTTCCTTCTTGTAATGACATTTTAGGGGCAAGTTCATCAGTTAACTACTTTTTTGTAATTATCTACCACTAACAGTCACCAAGTTTTTGAAAAACAACTTCAATCATAGGGAACTCCTCCTGACAATCTGGGGTCAGAATGTCAAGTTTTCCTAAGTAATCACCACCACTGGGAACCCTGTATTACAGAGAATTGTGAACTGATAGCCCATGTGTTTCACAACAAAGGCCAGTAAAACAAAATATAAGATAGTTCCTTGGAGTCCATTTTATAGGACTGACTTATAAGAAAATCACTGTTCTCATTACAAACACAGGAAAGGAGAATCTGGCAGTGTGATACTATTAAAAAGTAGAAGCTAACAGATACCAGACATTAATCTGGTATCTTTATCCAAAGATAACACTAAAAAAAAATTATAGTAGATTATTCTTCAGATATATTCACTCCCTCCCACCCAAACTCCATGGTAGCAGTTACTTTTTTACCCTTTGTCTTTGGGCTTGGCCAAAAGGATGTTAGCAGTCAAGATTCAAAAGGGGATTGAAGTATGCTTGTATGATTGGGTGTGTCCTCTTGTGCATCACCATCACCAAGAGAAGAATATGCTCAGTCTGGTGTCAATTCACAGACACATAAGCTAAACAAATGCTTACCACTGGATGTTGAGATTTGCGGCTGTCTTTTATATAGCATGATAGTGGCAATAAATTCCAGATACAAAGAAAAAAGAAAACCTTAAACAGAAACTCATCCAGAGACACTTACCAATAATACCTTTGTAGTTGGTTGGTACAATATCTTCATTCCTAAATTTTGCCCCTTGCAGCTTCAGTCTGGTGTTTACCACCCAGAGTGGAGTTGTCAGCAACACATTCACCACTCCTTTAAAAAGAAAGAGAGAAGGAGAAAGCAAAATGTAACCTTTTAAGCTTTGTTGTCTTATACTAAAGCTACATACCAATGTTTCATTTATTCTTCTGCCAATGACCTACTAGGGACCTACTAGGGACCTAAAGTAAGGTGTCTGTGCCAGGGTACAACACAAGCCACTACTGTTAGAAGCAACTCAGAAGCCTTGCTGATAGCAAAATGGCTGGTGGTAGTACCTTTTGATATGAAAAGAATAATGTTTTCCCTTTTGTATAACAGGAGGCAATCTATTCATTGATTTATATCACATTCAGAGTAGTAATTTTGATATAGTTTTAAATACAATTTTTCTAAAACAGCTTTAAGAGACAAGCGGTTTATTGATCACATGCTAAATCCATGACATCAGATAAAACATACTATTTACAACTCTCCTATAAGTAGCTCACAAGGTTTTAAGTGAGAATGGGTCTGGTATAACGTGTAACAAGTGGGAGAAAGTGGTGACAGTGGAAAGTGCTTCAATAGGGACTAGAGGATTATGGATGAGTTCCTTATCACCTAGGGAATTAGGACAGGCAAGCAGCAAGCAGGAGTTATGAACTGTCACAAAACACTTGAAACAGCTTCACAAGCATCATGATCCTTACAAGCTTAAGGGTGTGGATCTTGGACCCCCCAAGGTTGCCTCAGAATGGAACAATACAATGAGTCAGATGTGCCTCTCTTTTGAAAACACATGATCCCAATTTAACACCATCTTGAGATATTAATATATTCCTCATCAGTCCTGAAATGATTGAAAAAACAAACCAGACAGAGTTGTAACAAAGTGCCTGACACATAGTATAGACTTTATAAATATTTGTTAAATAAATACTGAACAAATGAAACAATGAACAAACTCAGCAAACAACCATACATGGAGCTATCTGGCTCTAGCCATGATGTGAAGAACCAAGAGGTGCAATCCTAAGAGAAATCTCTTTTACTAAAAGTCATTTAAACATAACAGGAGAAAGAATGTTTTGATTTAAGGACTCTCAAAACATACTGTACAGAAAACACAGTCTAACCAAGAATAAGCCTGTGCAACAGCCAAGAGACTAAAATTGTTTTCATTTGTTGCATACAGTTGTAAAAGTAAAATACAGTTGCTACCTCTCTCTTAGAAGCATTATGAGAACACATTTCTCAAAATAAAAGACATTATCAAATAATTTTATGAGTTATAGTTGTCATATTTGTTTTTTTATCCTTACTAGAGGACATTTTTCCCCCCACTTTTTGTTCAGATAGAGTGGGAGGGAGAGAGAGGAAGAGAGAGAGAGAGAGAAATATCGACATGAAAGGAACACATTGAGTGGCTGCCACCCGCATGACCGACCAGGGCCAGGGACCAACTGCAACCGAGGTACGCGCCCTTAGCGGGAACCGAACCCGGGTCTCTCTGGACCACAGGCCGATGCTCTAACTGCTGAGCCAAACCAGCCAGGGCTATTTGTCATATTTTTAAAGAGTCACAAAACACTAAGGAATCATTTTTAGTTAGGGCTCAATATATTCATACATTGTTACTTAAAGAATTGACTATAATCTGAATAAGTCTTACCTAGAGATTCCTGTGGATCTCATTATTATTTATTTTTATTAAAAAAACATTTTTTTCCCTGGCCAGTTTGGTTCAGCAGTTAAAGTGTCAGCCTATGAACCAATGAGTCACGGGTTCGATTCTGGTCAAGGGCATGTACCTCGGTTGTGGTTCCTCCCCAGCCCTGGTCGGGTTGTGTGAGAGGCAACCAGTTGATGTGTCTCTCTCACATGGATGTTTCTTTCTCTTCCTCTCTCCCCTCCCTCCCACTCTATATGATGATAAACAGAAAAATATCCTCGGGTAAGGATTAAAAAAAAAAAAAGATAAAGACAGGAGAGCTCAGAGCCAAAGATCATAAGTGTCCATGGATACTGTAGACAGGCATAGGCATAGTGTATATACCTTTCTAAACAAATGAAATAGGTTGCCCATTAAATAAATTCTTTAGAAAGCAAAGTTTCCTTCATGTTCTATTCAAGAGGTAAGCACACACAAAACATGTCAGAGGCAATGCAGCCAAGATTAAGATTTAACTATTATTTAAAATTCTACTTTCATATCCCCTTTATTAACACAAGTTGAAAGACTGAGAGGATACAAAGGACGATCTCAAGTACAAAAATGCACTCCATCATTTAAAGAGAATATAAAGTCTTTGTAAGAACAGTTTGTATTTCAAAGCTTTTTATCTGAGAAGTTCAAGTACTCTGTTCATCCTCTAAGCCAAAATAGATAGAGAGGTTATTTTTTAAACACTATAATTTTATTAGTTCTGAGAAAAGACACTCAAAATACTTGAGGATCCAAAACTTTGCTAGAATCTCACAACCTATGTTATCAAGCAAAGGACAACATTTCATGTTAGAAAAACAACTATAAATGGTCATGATGAACGATTCCAACTCTTACTAATGCATGACTGATAAGGCTGAAGGATAAAGCATGCTGTCTGGCCCTGGCCGGTTTGGTTCAGCGGTTAGAGCGTCGGCCTGCAGTCCGGAGAGACCCTGGTTTGGTTCCCGCTAAGAACACATACTTCGGTTGCAGTTTGTCCCCGGCCCTGGTTGGTCGTGTGGGTGGCAGCCACTCGATGTGTCCCTTCACGTCGATGTTTCTCTCTCTCTCTCCCTTCCTCTCTCTCCCTCCCACTCTATCTGTACAAAAAATGGAAAAATATCCTCGGGTGAGGATTAAAAAAAAAAAAAGAATGCTGTCTGCGCCCTGGCTGGTTTGGCTCAGTGGTTAGAGCGTCGGCCTGTGGTCCAGAGAGACCTGGGTTCGGTTCCCACTAAGGGCATGTACCTCGGTTGCAGTTTGTCCCCGGCCATGGTCGGTCATGCGGGTGGCAGCCACTTGATGTGTCCCTTTCAAGTCGATGTTTCTTTCTCTCTCTGTTCCTCTCTCTCCCTCCCACTCTACCTGAACAAAAAATGGAAAAATGTCCTCGGGTGAAGATAAATACAAAAAACAAAAACAAAAAGAATGCTGTCTGCTTATTTATGAGCCTATATAGAAAATTCTTTTTCCAGTTCCAAGCTGTAGCTGTTACTTCAGCTCTAAGATGGGAATACTAATACTTTACCTACTTCATGACAGATTGATTTTCTGCCCATTTGAATAATCCTATTATCTTTCTTTCTTTTTTGTAAAAAATCATTTACAGGAAAATAAAAACAAAAATTAAGAGATGAAGAACAGTAACTGAACCTACTCACGAAATTATTCACCGATTTAAGGACTAATTGAAACAGCTATTTACTTCAGAAATCTTCTAAATAAATAGTTGACTGGCAGTGAGTCTCCTTCAGTAAGAAGAGAATACAACATGAAATATGCTAATCAGGTATGCACTTCTGGAAAATGTGCACAATGACCACTGATATAAGAAAGTGGCAGATCAGCCCTGGCCAGTTTGGCTCAGCGGTTAGAGTGTCAGCCTGCGGTCCGCAGAGACCCGGGTTCGGTTCCCGCTAAGGGCACGTACTTTGGTTGCAGTTTGTCCCCGGCCCTGGTTGGTCGTGCGGGTAGCAGCCACTCGATGTGTCCCTTCACATCGATGTTTCTCTCTCTCTCTCCCTTCCTTTCTCTCCCTCCCGCTCTATCTGTACAAAAAATGGAAAAATGTCCTCGGGTGAGGATAAAAAAAAAAAAAAAAAAAAAAAAAGAGTGGCAGATCAAAGCCATAAATCTAATCATTTGTCTCCCTATGAAAGAACACAACTAGATGCACAAAAAGAAAAAATCTGCTTGACCAGAGTTAAGGCTGGAGGGCAAGAAACAAATATGAATTCACAACAACGAAAATACCAGTGGCATTCAAAAAGAGTTATTTGTAAAAATCCCTATTTCATAAAAATGGCCAGTATCTTCTTCACTTAAGTTATCTGTAAGGTTCTTTCCCCAAATTCTTCCCCAGGGTATCAAGCTATATGGGTTTTCTTCTGTGAAAATAACTAAATTAATTAAATAAATTTCTAAGTTTCAAACAGAATTTGAATAACAATATGGGGTGGGGAAAAAGTAGGTTTACAGTTATTCATGTGAAAAAAGACACGTAGGTTATGATTATAATAATACAAGAACAAACTCTGAAACAGCCTGGTACTGGCACAAAAACAGGCATATAGTTCAATTGAACAGAACAGAGAACCCAGAAATTAACCCAAGTCATTATGCTCAATTAATATTTGACAAAGGTGGCAAGAGCATACAGTGGAGTAAAGACAGCCTCTTTAATAAATGGTGTTGGGAAAATTGGACAGCTACATGCAAAAAAATGAAACTAGACCATCAACTTACACCATACACAAGAATAAACTCAAAATGGATAAAAGACTTAAATGTGACTCATGAATCCATAAAAATCCTAGAAGAAAATGTAGGCAACAAAATGTCAGACATCGTATGCAGCAGAATTTTCACTGATACTATGCCTAAAACAATAGAAACAAAGAAAAAAATGAACACGGGACTACATCAAACTAAAAAGCTTCTGTACAGCAAAAGAAATAACCATCAAAATGGAAAGGGGACTCACAATATGGGAGAGCATAGTTGCCAACAATACATCAGATAAGGGGTTAATCTCCAAAATATATAGAGTACTCATACAACTCAACAAAAGGAAGACAAAGAATCCAATTAAAAAATGGGCCGAGGATCTAAACAGGACATACAAATGGCGAAGAGACATATGAAAAAATGCTCAATGTCACTAATCATCAGAGAGATACAAATTAAAACGACTATAAGGTATCACCGCACACCTGTCAGAATGGCTGCCCATCAACAAATCATCAAACAAGTGCTGGCAAGGGTGTGGAGAAACAGGGACTCTAATACACTGCTGGTGGGAATGTAGACTGGTGCAGCCACCATGGAAAACACTATGGTGTTACCTCAAAAAGTTAAAAATTGA